AGATCAGTCTGGGCAACAAGGCCTTGTCGCATGACTCTGTCTTTGTCTCAGACTCGTCAGAAGCCACTGAGGGACTCGGAGCGTCTCAGGACAGCATCCATGGGAAAGTCAAATCACTGCAGGTAAAAATACAACATCGGTGGTATGGGTCATGTGACCTCTGACCACAGAAGTTAAGACTGGATTGTAACATGTGAAGTGGTGATAATTTAGGGGAGGTGATGAAAATGGCAAGATTTCAAACGTATACAGTGGGTATGGAAAGTATTCAGACCCCGTCAACCTTTCTCTTTGTTATGTTGCAGCCATTTGCTAAAATCCATTAAATTAATTTTTTTTCTCATTAATGTACACACAGCACCCCATGCTGACAGAAAAACACAGAATTCTATAAATGTATCCAGATTTATTAAAAATGACAAACAGAAATATCACATGATCCTAAGTATTCAGATACTTTGCTCAGTATTCAGTAGACGCACCCTTTTGAGCTAATACAGCCGCGAGTCTTCTTGGTAAAGATGCAACAAGTTTCTTACACCTGGATCCTTGCAGATCCAGTCCAGTTCTGTCAGGTTGGATGGTGAACGTTGGTGGACGGCCATTTTTAAGTCTCTCCAGAGAGGCTCGGTTGTGTTTAAGTCAGGGCTCTGGCTGGGCCATTCAAGAACAGTCACAGAGTTGCCGTGGCGCCACTCCTTCGTTAGTCTAGCTGTGTGCGTAGGGTCGTTGTCATGTTGGGATGTAAACCTTCGGCCCAGTCTGAGCTCCTGAGCACTCTGGAGAAGGTTCTTGTCCAGGATATTCCTGTACGTGGTCACATTCATCGTTTCCTCTATTGCAACCAGTCGTCCCGTCCCTGCAGCTGAAAAACACCCCCACAGCATGATGCTACCACTGCCATGCTTCATTGTGGGGACTGTATTGGACACGTGATGAGCAGTGCCTGGTTTTCTCCACACATACCACTTAGAATTAAGGCCAAAAAGTTCTATCTTGGTCTCATCAGACCAGAGAACCTTATTTCTCACCATCTCGGGGTCCTTAGGTGTTTTTTTTAGCAAACTCCACGCAGGCTTTCATGCATCTTGCACTGAGGAGAGGCTTCTGACGGGCCACTCTGCCATAAAGCCCTGACTGGTGGAGGGCTGCGCTGATGGTCGGCTTTCTACAACTTTCTCCCATCTCCTGACTGCTCATCTGGAGCTCAGCCGCATGATCTTTGGGTTCTTTACCTCTCTCACCAAGGCTCTTCTCCCCCAGTAGCTCAGTTTGACTGGACGGCCTGCTCTAGGAAGGGTTCTGGTCATCCCAAACATCTTCCCTTTAAGGTTTATGGAGACCACTGTGCTCTAAGGAGCCTTAAGTGCACCTTGGCCAGATCTGTGCCTCGCCACAATTCTGCCTCTGAGCTCTTCAGGCAGTTCTTTTGACCTCATGATTCTCATTTACTCTGACAAGCACTGTGAGCTGTGAGGTCTTCTGTAGACAGGTGTGTGACTTTCCTAATCAAGTCCAATCGGTACAGTCGAACACAGCTGGACTCCAATGAAGGTGTAGGACCATCTCAAGGATGATCAGAAGAAATTCAAAGTACCTGAGTTAAATATGAGTGTCACAGAAAAGGGTCTGAATATTTAGGACCATGTGATGAATTCAGTTTGTCTTTTGTAATAAATCTGCATGCATTTCTAAATTTCTGTGTTTTTCTGTCAACATGTGTGTTGTGTGTACATTAATGAGGAAAAAAATGAATTTAATTATAGCAAACGGCTGCAATATTACAGTGAAAAATTCATGGTGGTCTGAATACTTTCCGTACCCGCTTTATCAGTCACATCGAGTCAAAAATGAGAAAGCATAAGACCCAGATGGACAAGCTGACCTCTGGTGACCCCAGGAAGCTACCAGGAAGTCAGAAACCAGCAGCTTCCTGAGGGGATTTGCTGAAAAAGGCAAACTTCTGCCTGCCGCAAAAAAAAAAACAAGGAAACATTTATATTTGAAAGTACCCCAAATGAAACCAGTGTTGGGAATAATGCATCACAGAGGTAAGGAGTTACAGAAGTATTCTAAAACATTGCTTTTAAAAAGTATGGAAATATTTTAGTCGCTACTAATTCTGCTGCGTGAGTTACAATTACGAGCGTGGCTAAAAGGGTTTTCATTGGTTAAACTTTATTTATAAAGCACTTCAAAAACAGCCCAAACCGACCAAAGTGATTCAAAGACGCTTCAGCAGGATACAAAACATAAAAACTTACAAAAGTACAATAAAACATGAAAAGTGACTAAAATAAAACAGAATCGGAGCGCTCATATTCGTGGAAGGCCAAAGTAAAGTGGTTGGTCTTTAAATACGCCTTTCTAACATGTGCTGGCTGAGTTTCACTTTATTCTGAAAAGTCAGAAATGACCAAACTAAACAAATTCAGTCCTGATGGGAAAGGTTTGGTTCATCAAAAATCTTGTTGTGCATTTTAATCTTTTTTAGACACGA